CCCCCTTTTAATTCAACAGAATTTTTCAAAGAGGTGGCATCCTTCCTCAAAAATATTTTCGGCAGTCAACTTTCCTAAACCTCTTCAGTTTGGTACCCATATTGCAATATTCCATGTATCTTATCAATGAAATTAAATTACAATTTTAAAACATGTGGCTACCTTCGCAAAAATATTTTCGGCTGTATGTCTTCTTAAACCTCTTTATTTTGACACCAATATTGCAATATTTACTTTATCTTATCAATTTACTTAAGCTAAAATTTTCAAACAGGTGGCTACTCCCTAATTTTTTTTTCCTATGTTTTAAGTTAGAGCTCTAGCAATACGTCGGCGAAAGCTGTATTACATTTCATGAGTTAGTTTTCGAGTGAGAGTATGTCTACGGAGTGATACCAGGAATTTAGACACTCGTTTTCTCCATACAACGAAAGGCCAATGTTATATTTATATTTATGTGCATAGTCACATACTACATATACATACATACATATGTATGTATGTATGTGCGTACATAATAATTTCTTTTATTTTGTGTTACTACATCGATTAAATATTGGTGACTTACTTAAATCATCTAGTGAATTTTTTTTTCAATATTTCTTATTTTTAGGACGTCAAAGCCGTCGAAACGCAGCTAGAAGAATACGCAACACAGTGTCTCAAAGATATATCAGATCATTTCCTACAACTACACAGTTTTTTACAAAATGAGGAACATCGTATTTTAGAAGAATTCCATAGTCAATGTTTAAAACCGCAACAGACAATACGCGATTCATTTTCAAAACTAGGCGAATCTCAAAGCATTTTAAATGTAAGTTGAGAGTTTACATTAATCAAATTTTATAAGAAAAGTAGTGTTTCTTTTTCAATTGTTTAGAAAATGCGCTCCGAATTAGAGCTATATCAGCACAAAGTACCCACGGATATACATCTACGTAATATTTTCGAAATTTACAATGTCCAATTGGAACAGATAGAATGTCGAGCACAAATATCGAAAGTTACAAAAAATCCTTTTATGTGAGCTATGTCATTTAAATTATTATTTGCTAACTCCTATAATGCTAGTCTTTCATTTTAGCTTTGAGGTGAAATACGATTTTCGCAAAGATTTTTCCAAGTCTTTCATTTACGATTACAACGATCCACAGCTTAAAATACGGCTAGCTTCCGTATATAGTGACTTGAATCAAACTTTCCGCGATATAAAATCAGATTCAAGCGATGAAATGGATGTAGACTGTTACATTGAAAAGCACAAGCGCAAAAATAATGAACGAAATAAAAAGAAAAGGCTGGCACTACGACGCAACGACAATGAAGATGAAGTATCCAATACATCGGACACTGAAGCAAAACTGCCATTATTGCGCGACAAGGAATTGGTGCGAATTAGCCATGTAAAATCGCCCGAACATTTCTTTGTACAAACTAAGAATGCGATAAGCGTAATACGTGAACTCTCTAATAAGTACGTGAATTTCATGCAAACCGATGTTATACCTAAGCTAATCGCTGAGGGTCAATGTTATATGATATACCATGCCGATGATAAGCAATGGTATCGTGCTATGGTGAAGAAGGCACTATCGCAAGATCTATATAGAGTGTTCTTAGTCGATATAGGTTTCCATGTAGAGATGCCGAAAGAAAGGTATGGGTCGATTTGGGGTTATTAACAATAAATTAAATAACCATTTTGAGTGTCTCTACTTTCAGATTCTGTGAAATCGATACAAAATCTCTTAGCATTCCCTTTGGCGCTATCCGTTGCGCCATTCATGATATAATGCCTGCCGGAAAGACATGGAATGAGGAGGCTAATAATTTACTAATCGAAATCACACGTAATCATTTCGTACGCATCAGTATTATCGAGCGCATCAAGGAGAATGTGCTCTCAGTGGATCTAATTACAACTTCATCTGAAGAAGCCATTTCGGTGCGAGATTCTTTTTTATACACGGGCCTGGCGCGGGAGATGTCAGGTACAGCGGACATGCCGTCACCACTTAAGGTAATGCATTGTTATGTGATCAAATAAATATAAAATGCCATTCAATATATGCAAACAGATCGGCTACTAATGAGTTAGAAACTTTTTAACCCTGGAAAGTAGTGCTTCGTCAGGATGAGGAACAGTGTTCGTTTAAAAATTACCAAAATTTCAAACTTTTTACTTAGAATTTCAAGAAATATAGTATGCAGTTGTATAGCCTCTTAAATTTTAGTGTAACAATTTTGATCGACAAAATAAAAGTCAGCCTCATTGCGTAAGTCGTAAACTATACTAAATTGTACGACACGACAACATTGGCATTGCCTAATGTTGGGCAGAAATAAGTAAACGACGAAAATCCTCAAAAACTATCCAGTGCTACCTTGTTCTTATGTTTTAATACACTGGTCGGCTCGAAATTTTAAGCAATGCATGCAATTTCTATAAGACTCAAGTCTCGACACTCGGCACGACACTCACAATGAGGCTGATTAACTGTTATTCAATTCAATTTTAGTCAAATTTTAACTAAATTTTTTTTTGTCGAAAGCCTATCGATGAAGAATAATGATTATTTATCGACTTTTTTGGAAAAGAAATCTTAACAATTACAGTACCTGGTATGCATATACATATGTATGTATAGAAAAACTGCATCTTTTATCTTTTAAGTATTAAACAATTAACATCGATATACTCACAAATCTGTTTTACATACACTTTTAGAAAATATCTCCCGTGGCGCGTACAAATCAAAGATTGCCAAAATATAATTTTCATAATGGGGATATTTTGTCCGTAAAAGTGACGCATATCGAAAGTCCACATTTGTTCTACGTTATAAAGGTATTAAAATTGCTTTCAAATTCTGAAGAACACTATTTACATGCATGCATACATATATTTTGAAATTGAAATATCTTACCAGACGGATGCCATTGAAGCAGCAACGATTCTAAATTCCGATTTGAATTATAAATACCTTCACTTAAAAATGCCTTTACAACCTCTTTTTGTCGCTCCATTACAAATGGGTTGCGCTGTGCGCATCGATGGCGTTTGGCACCGCGCACGCATTGAGGAAATACGCGGTGGTGGTAAGTTGTTTAACACTTAAAAGAAAATATTCTTAACATTTTCATTTTATTATCTGCTCTTAATAATTATATACATATGTATGTATTTCAAGGTAAAATTTGCGTACACCTCGTAGACGAAGGCACACAGCAAGATGTCGATTGGCGCCAAATTCATCCGCTTATCAGCAAATTTCGCTCTGAAAAGGAATTTGCCATTAAGTGTACCTTGGCCGATGTCGAACCGCTGCAAGTGAATAACTATGCTTGGACCTCAGAAGCTATACGTGAATTCAACCAATTGGCTGCTAATCCCATTTTACAGATGATCGTACTATCAACAGATAAAGCTACAGCACGTGTTTCACTGCATGTGTGCAAAAAACATATGGATATAAATGTAGGTGCGATATTGGTTAAATATGGGCATTGCATATCGACGGGCGATAGTTCTCAATTGGTTGAAATTTCCAAGACATCAAAGAAACGCCTGAGTTTGCCTATGAATCCATTATTGGATACAATGCATTTGAATGCCAACTTGAAGGGTAAAGATGTGTCTTTGCAAGATAACAATCCGATTGCGGGTGCAGCGGGCGGCAATAGCAACCCAGTGAAGGTGCTGAAACGCACACCAATTAAGATTATGCACATCGTGGATCCTGGCGAGTTTTATATACAAGTGACCAGTCTCTTAACGGGCATTAAAAAATTCCACAATCAATTGCAACAGGCACAAAACGAAGAACAATCTAATGCATCAAGCTTCTCCCTTTGCTCACAAGGTACAAGAAATTGGTTTGTCGGTAATCATTGTTTGGTGCATACGCAATATAAAACTAATACAATCAAGCAATCAAAATCTTCGACCGCTCAGCCCGAATGGTACCGTGCTATTATAGTAGCGATAACATCCGAAATTGAATGTGATATATATACTGTATTCTTACGGGATATTGGTGCTACTATATCCGGTATTACCAGTGACCAGCTCAGAGTTATAGACCATCAATGGGATCAAGTTACAAATTCGGCGCATCGCTGTCACTTGGCATGTGTCGAGCCAACGGGTGGTACGCCGACTTGGTCCCATTCGGCCATCGACTGTTTCAAGCATACTGTCACCTCATTCGAAACACTTTCGGCTACAATGCAAGGAAAACGCACGCCTGGCTCGAATTCATTGCCCATTGTACTTTGGGGTACAATCACCGAAACTGAAGATCCCTTAGCGCCATGTATCTCGAAACATTCGATAATCAATCGCATTTTAGTTAAAGCAGGTCTCGCGCATTCAGTGCAACGATTGGATGTTACAGAACAACTTGACAAATTACTGCAAATGGAGTTGGTTGAGGGTGAAATTACCTTAGAGGAGTGGAATAAGAATTTTGCAACCAATGCCGCATTGAAAGGTGAGTAATGGAGAGCAGAGATTCATTCATTCAGAAAAATGTATATCTTTGTGAACCTGGTACAATTAATTCTCTAACGGACAAACAAATAACATTTTGATCAGAAAATTAGGCATGTCAAAATAACAGAATGTCCTATCTCTTTATTTTAGGGAAAATATTTAGGTCATCGCTGACAGTTTGTTTCTCGTTCATCCTATCGATGGTCCTGTGCAATAACGACATAATTCAAAACTCAAAAAATAAAACCTTTTACTACTGTTAAATGGCTCATGTCTCTAGCCCTTCTCGAATCCACATCTAATCTTTAGAACTTACTTTAGTAATCCTTACTACCGGTAGCAAGTAAGGATTGGAAAAGGATAGGACAAGGGTTAGATGCAGGAGCCACTTAACAGTAGTAACACCTTTTATTTTTTGAATTTTGAATTGTGTCGTTATTGCAGAAGACCATCGATAATGTAAGAGAAAGTAATTCTGTTCGTATGTATTTGCAGTGGTTAGTAGTAGGCACGCTACGAATAATCACTTTCGCGTAATTATTGTTGAAATTTTTGCAGCATGCATCAGACCTTATAAAAAATTAGAAGATTTTTATAATTAAATAAATTCCCTTTTTTGGTATAAAGATTAACATTTGCATAACGTTTGCTGCGTGCCGCGCCATTTTAGAATATTTTCATAAAAAAAAACCTTTTCAACTTCCATACCAACTCAAATCCTACCGAAATTAATATTATGTAAAATAATGTTTAAGCAAAAAAAAAACATAACCGAGAATTATCGAAAACGGTCCACGTGCTCTGATATCTGATAACATATGTA